ATTCGACCTGGCCGTTGGCTCTAGGATGGGCAACAGAGACGTATTTGACGGAGATGCATCGGTCTTCATAGAAGTCCCAAAAGTGATGGCCAGTAAACGTAGTTCCGAGGTCAGCGATGATGCTGTTCGGGAGACCAAATCTATGGATGATATCTTCGAAGAGCTCCACTGCTTTCTTTGCAGTAGCCGAGACGAGCGGTTTATACTCGATCCACTTGGAGAACTTGTCAATGGCGACGTATACGTACCGAAAGCCACCTGGCACTGGCTTGAAAGGCCCAATCATATCTAATCCCCAGCATGCAAAGGGCCAGGAAGCTGGGATGGTCTGCAGCTCTTGTGCCGGCATGTGTATTTGCTTGGTGAAAAATTGGCATCCTTCACAACGTCGGACGAGGTCTTCTGCATCGGAGATGGCCGTAGGTCGGTAAAAACCAGCTCGAAAAGCTTTGCTGACCAATGTTATCGAGGCCGCGTGATTGCCGTAGGAACCATCATGAATTTCAAGAAGGAGCTTCACTCCGTCTTCTTGGGTGATGCATTTTTGCAGTATCCCTTTCTTGGCACTTTTCCTCATCAAGTTGCCGTCCACCAGCACGTAATGCTTGCTTCGACGGATTAGGCGTTCGGTTTTAGTCTTATTAGCGGGTACTTCGGCGCTAGAGAGGTACTTGATGAACTGTTCCCTCCAATCGGCGACCAGCGAAGGTACCGTAAGTACCAGCTGCTCGGCGGGGGGAACTTTCTGAATTTCCTTATCTTCCTTAATGGATGGCGCCAGAAGATCTTGAACGAAGACCCCCGGTGGAATCGCGACGCGAGATGAGCCTAACTTGGATAAGTGGTCGGCGAGCTGATTTTGATCGCGTACCACGTGGTGGTACCCGATACCGTAGAACTTCCCTTCAAGCTTCCTGATTTCAGCGTAATATGCATCCATCTTCTCGCTGGAGCAGGACCAGTCTTTGTTGAGCTGGTTGATGACCAGTGCGGAGTCCCCGTATACCATGAGGCGTTTGACGCCGAGCTCAACGGCTATACGAAGTCCGTGGAGACATGCTTCATATTCGACGGCGTTGTTGGAGGCCAGAAAGTGTATCCAGAGAACATATCGGAGCTTATCCTTGGTCGGTGTAATGAACAGAATGCCCGCACCAGCACCGTTGATGTTAAGTGCACCGTCGAAGTACATCACCCAGTGCTCGGGGTAGGTGGCGGCGATGGGATCTTGGATCTCGGTCCACTCAGCGATGAAATCAGCAAGCGCCTGAGACTTGATGGTAGACCTATTTCTGAATTCAATGGAGTAAGTGCCGAGCTCGATAGCCCACTTGATGATACGGCCGTTGGCCTCTTTTGTTGCGGAGGATGTCCCCCAAAGGGAACTCGGTGACCACGGCGATCTTGTAATACTCAAAGTAGTGGCGGAGCTTGTGCGATGTAATCAGAACGGCGTATAGCAGCTTCTGGACTTGAGGATAACGAGTCTTGGGCTCGTTTAGAACCTCGCTGATGAAATATACCGGATGTTGCACCTTATAGGCGTGCCCCACCTCCTCACGTTCGACCACAATGGATGTGCTGACGACACGAGAAGTAGCGGCGATGTAGATCAGGAGAGTTTCGTTTGGCCGTGGTGCCGTCATGATCGGAGGCTTTGTTAGGAACAACTTGAGCTGCTCGAAGGCTGTGTCTGCCTCTTTCGACCAGGAAAAGCGCTCGGAGGCCTTGAGGAGTTTGAAGAACGGTAGCCCTTTTTCGCCGAGGCGCGATATGAAGCGGCTTAAAGCAGCCATGCAGCCTGTAAGCTTCTATGTATCCTTGACGCATGTTGGTCGTTTCATGTTGGTGATGGCGGAAACCTTGTCAGGGTTGGGCTCAATGCCTCGTGCGCTGACGATGTAGCCCAGGAGTATACCGGATGGAACTCCAAAGATGCACTTTGAAGGGTTTAGCTTTCATCGGTACCTTTTAAGGTTGGCGAACGTTTCTTCAAGGTCGGCGATAAGATCATCGGTGATCTTGGACTTGACAACCACATCGTCGATGTAAGCTTCGATGTTGCGGCCGATCTGTTGATCGAGGCACATCTGGATAGCCCTTTGATAAGTCGCCTCGGCGTTCTTGAGTCCGAAGGACATGGTGGTGTAGCAGTATGCACCGAAGGGCATGATGAACGACGTCTTGATCTAGTCTTCTTCCTTGAGGGAGATCTGGTGATAGCCGGAGTAACAATCGAGGAAGGAGAACAGTTCGTAGCCTGCGGTGGAGTCTACAACCTCATCTATCTGAGGCAGACCGAAGGGGCCTTTAGGGCAGTGTTTGTTAAGATCAGTGTAATCAACGCATATTCTCCATTCTTTATTCTTTTTTGAACGAGAACAGGGTTTGCTAACCACTCAGGATGATACACTTCTTTTATGAATCCAGCAGCTAAGAGCTGTTTTATTTCTACCCTAATAGCCTCCTTCTTGTCTGGCGCGAATCGGTGGAGTTTCTGCTTGATCGGTTTGGCGGTCGGCGAGACATTCAAGGAGTGCTCGATCTTCTCCTGTGGTACCCCCAGCATGTCTGCAGGTTTTCAAGCAAACACGTTGGCATTGGTACATAGGAAGGAGACAAGCGTGCTTTCCTATTTGGGGTCGAGGTGAGCCCCAATCTTCATGGTCTTTGAGGGGTCGTCGAGGCCGAGGCTGACCTCCTTTGATTCCTTGGACTTGGCGGAGGCGCGAGAAGGCTCTAGCTCTAGGATCTCCATGTCGTCGGCGGGCACCGTCTTGGCTTTAGTGACCACGCTAGCCATCTGGATGGAGAGGTCGATGGCTTCGGCGAGAGCGAGACTCTCTGTCTCATAGGCGTAGGCGATGGAGAGGTTGGCCTGCAAGGCCAAAACTCCTGCAGGCGAAGGCATCTTCAGCACCAGATAGGCGTAGTGCGGTACAACCATGAACTTGGCCAGAGCTGGCCGACCAAGTATGGTGTGGTAGGCGGTGTTGAAGTCGGCGACGTAGAAGTTGATGTGCTCGACACGGTAGTTGCTTGCCGTGCTGAACTGTACTGGTAGGGTGATCTCTCCAAGCGGTTTGGACGCCCTGCCAGGTACCACACCCCAGAAGGAGGATTCTGAGGGTGTGAGATCTGCTATCCCGAGGCCCAACTCCTTTAGGGCTTTGGTGAAGAGGAGATTCAGAGCGCTCCCACCGTCGACGAGCACTTTTCTGAAAAGCACTTTCTGGACGGTTGCATCGAGGACGAGGGCGAAACGCCCTGTGTAGGGGATGTTCGCCCACTGGTCGGCCCTGCTGAAGGTGATTGGGACCTTGGACCATGGGCGATAGCTGGGGTTGACGGCGGCATCTTTCGTAGTGACGGCGAGCACCCGCCATGCGGCGAGCTTCCGTTCTCTTCTGCTCTCGGTGGAGGCGAGGCCCTCGAAGATGGTGGCGACCACCTTGTCGTGGTCCTAGAAGGCATTGTTATTGCCCCTAGGTGGTCGGCGACCTCCGGCTCCGTCGTTGGTGTCGTCGTCTAGCTTCTTGTCCTGGAACTCCTTAGCCAAGCCGAGACAGTCCTTCATCCTATGTGTGGCGTTCTTGTGGAGGGCACAGGGGCCGTTGTGGATTTTCTTGTATTGCTCATCGTAGTTGCGCTTGGCACGAGGTTCATTGATGGCGGCGACGATGTGGTCTGGCCGGCGGCGGCGATTTTGACCAGACTTGGGTCCTTCTGGCCGATCACGACCGCTATCACGATGGTAACTGCAGTCGTCGTAACGGTGGTCGTGACGTCGATCGTCGGGGCGGTCGTCGTAGCGGCGTGTTGGGCGATGAGTGCCCGCATCCTCGTTGAAGCGCACCTCGGCTTCCTCAGCGTCGGCGTACTGGTTGGCGGTCGTGATCATCTCGCCAATCCCTATGGGCGGCTTGCGGTTGAACTTGGAGCGAAGCTCGCGGTGATGGAGTCCTCTGATGAAGGCGGTGATGATCTCCGTTTCCGTGATGTTGGGAATAGAATTCCTCATATCAGAAAAGCGTCTGATGTAGCTGCGAAGGAGCTCGGATGGCTTCTGGTTGATGCGGTTGAGATCGTGCTTGGTGCCCGGCCGAGTACACGTAGCCATATAGTTGTCGGTGAAGACTTTTTTCAGCTCTTCCCAGGATCCGATGGAGTCCGGGCCAAGGCTTGTAAACTAGCTCATGGCGGCTGGCGTGAGCATGATGAGAAGATAGTTTGCCATGACGCTAGTGTCTCCTTCGGCGGCGCGGATAGCAGTGGCGTAAACCTGTAGCCACTGTGTCGAGTTCATCCTTCCTTCGTAGGGCTCGACCCCAGTGATTTTGAAACCACGGCGCCACTGAAGTGTTCGGATCGCCCTTGTGAATGCTGGGGGCCCTTCGGAGTTGTCGGCGCTGTCGTCTGCAGCGTTGCCGGCGGCGAGCAGCTCGAGAGCTGAGTCCGGGTTACCATACTCTTGCTCGTACTCCTGGCGGCGACGTACTTCTTCATGGCGACCGAAGCGGCGTTCGTCGATACGCCGTCGTGCATCTCGGAGAATGTTGAGGTGCACTCGGACGTCCTGGTCGTGTTGGCGGTGATGTTCGTTGCGGTTGCCCCTAGCTCCACCCTGGAGGAGTTGCCTGGCGTCGCGGTGCTGGTCGGTGAAGCGACTTTGGCGACGATCGGTTCTTGTCGCGGCTGATTGGCGAATCGAGGTTGTGGAGTATGAAGGCCTCTGATCCTGGCGGATCTCATTGACCTGACAGTGTGCCGCTTTAAGCATGGCGGCGACCTTGGCGACCTCGGGTGTTTGCGGGAGTCGGGCGAGCTCGTTGGCGGCCACTAAGCAGTAAAGGCAAGTGCAATGGCTGCAAAATGAACTCACCGTGTTCCCCTGAAGCTCTCCGCCTTCCCTTCAGATTGGCCTTGATCAAGCAGAGTTGCAAGGCCAAAGTCAGATATTTTGGGACTGAAGGCATCACTAAGTAGTATATTACTAGGGTCTATATCGCGATGAACGATTCTGCAATGCTCATGCAGATATAGTAATCCTTCACAAATCCCTTGAATGATGTGAAGACGTGAAGGCCAGTCGGGGACTATGCATCTTATAGAAATGACACTATTCTGATGATAATTATGTCTGCAAGGAGCCACTTATATTACAAGAAAAACATACCAAACAGAATTGCATCAAGGCTACCACCGGGCATATATTCATAGCATATTACGTTTTCGTTATTCCCCATGCAGGATCCCATCATCCTTATGATGTTCGGATGGTCAAGCCTCGCAAGAATTTTCACCTCATGTTTTAGCTCCTCAAGCCCCACTTCCGTGTTTAGTCTTTTGATTGCCAAATCACCAACATTTGGTAGTGTTCCCTGAGCAATGCCAAGGATAACAAATTCTTCATATATACTAATTCAATAACAGACTCACAACCAAAACTCCAAAAGGAAAACCGATTAAGTACCTTGTAGATGGTCTTAGATCGGGTAGAAATGATACTATTTCGTTCAGTAAAACTGTTGGTGGCAACTCTGATAGCATCCAGATCTAAACTCTGCTCAAGGTGGGCTGTAAGCTTAGGCCCTGGGGCATGCTCATGTTCTGTTCCAAACAATTCTGATTGCACAAGTTTTTTCACGAATGAAATGATATATAATCCTATCATACATAAAAATTGTGAATGATGAATAGTAATTGTGCGTACCAAGTGCTAGTGGTAAATGCTTTCGTTGACTTCGACGATAACAAAATACTAGCAATGCAGAAATAAGCAGCAACCCTCCAACAACAGAGACAGAGACAATGATAGCAGTTTGTCTATCTATAAAAAGAATAGGGATCCATTTTTAGTATAATAAAGTACTGAATAAACTCTTAAATTGATAGGATCATAGGAATAATCATCGAAACATACCTGTGTGAGACGGATCATTATGAGAAACCCGAGTGTACAAATCATCGATCCCTATAGTAAGCTGAACAGTATCGAGCAGATCACCTGACCAGACGACACAGTCACTCCCTCCAAGCAGGGCGTAAGCGTTGCACGAGCAGTTCCCTAAGCACAACTCCCTGCAGCCATCCAAGCTCTTGCCTCGAACCAAGGTGGCGTTCAGTGTGTCAGGCACCTTAACAAGTGAGAGTCTGCTAAACCCATTCGCTGACGAGCAAGAAAACGGCGACACACTCCTCACGCAGCCACCGGCGAAGTTCCTCTGGTTCCATTCGCGCGGCGACGTGGGGACGAACTCCGGCAGGCATTGGCAGACAGCGGTGGAGCAGAAGGCGTTTGGACCGCAGAACGCGTAGGAATCACATGTAGACTGAGGCCAATGCCAGTAGTACTCCCACTTGTTGTCGGAGTTGCTGCGCCAGCGATAGGCAATGCCATCTGGCATCAGGACAAGTCGCCACTGGACTGATGTGTTCAAAGCCGTGAACGAGTAATACGCGCTGCCTTCGCGCACATTCATGTTGAACACCACATTTGTCGGCTTGAGATATGGCTGGCCGTTGAAGCCCTGGCCATTCCATGGACCAGTCCTGTATGTCAAATCAGTGCCATTGAACAAGAGCAGTTCAGGCATTCGTCTCGGTCCATGCTGATGGTGTAAGTCCCCGGGAGACGGGTCCGATTCGCTCTTCCATGATCTGAGCTGCAACAAGCCATTATTCGCCGCCGACGTGTCGTACCCGATTCTCATGCCAGACAAGAATGTGTCGCAGGGATGATCAAAACTTCGCCATAGTACTTGACCTGGAGTACTCCCAGACTTGTGGATTGTTGGTGTTGAGTGAGTCAGTAAACCATACGGGGACGCTTCCTCTTCTTGTATCCAGAAGGACAAGAGAACTTTGGATGAAGGTAAGGCTTCCATTGCCTCCTTTTATTGGGTTGTCACGGTTTGCCACCCAGACGACTGTTTGAGGCTTTATATAATTGTACCATATTCCTAGATATGTTTTGTCCCCATTTGTGAAGAAACCCAACACAAAGATAGCTTGTGCTGAAACAAGTGTTTGACCAACTTGCAAAGACTGCCCTACGGCCAGCGAGCCATCTGGAACAAGATATATATTTCAAGATGGAAAACTGTAAGAATTAATGCATCAAGAAAAAAAAAGGAAAACCGTGAGGTGTATGCATGCATGGGATATATATATATATATATATATATATATATATATATATATATATATATATATATATATATATATATATATATATATATATATATATATATATATATATATATGTGTGTTGCCATGCATCAGCCTGTTCGCTTGCTCGTAAACGATCGTAAATTTCCAGTCGGGAACAGTGTTTTTCTCTCACACCAAACCAGCCAGCAGTAAATAATCCACGATACGATACGACCTCCCGAACAGGCTGCATATTGTTTCTAGCTACTATTTCTTTCTCTCAACCAAAGAAAAAACACAAAGGAAGACCAAGACCAGAGGAACCAAAAGGTTTTACTTGTATCTTGGACAATTTATACTACACTGGACCAAGAGTCCAAGACCAATCGGCATAATGTTAGAGTACACTATTGACTTGTTCGGCTGCCATTGCTGTGAACAACATGTCGCGTCATCAGCGCCATAACAAGCAGGCAAAGGTTTGTACTACAGATTATTGCACGATGGACCACACTCAGACAAATCCAATAATTAACCTTGGCGCACAAACTGCAATCGAAGAGGACTATAACACCTTTAAATTTGGGTCTCTTTTGGAACAAAAGATGTACAATATGCAGGAATAGAAAAAAAAACATAGGAATGACAAATCATATAGGATTTCAAAACAAAGGAAAATTAGAAAGATGCCTTTGGAAACATTGCAGGGGAAACATATAGGAAACAAAACAACGAAGTTATAGCTCATGTTTAGTTTCCTCCAAAATTACTTTAGAATGCCCACCATTCCATATATATGAATTTCAAAGGAATTATTGGGAAGCATTAACCAAACCATTCCATGCGCAAACAATTAATTGTATATATACTTAGAGAGAGAAAGAGGTGTACTTTGCGGCTGCGCCTGAGGTAGAGAGGCAGCAGCGAGCAGCAGCACCGGAACGAGGAGCACGGCCTTGAGCATCGTCCTCGCCGTCAGCTACGTAGGCAGGTCCTGATGAAATGGCGAGCGTAGCGTAGCTCCTGCACTCCCATGCTTTGTATACGTAGTAGGAAAAATCATAACAAAGGTCCTTCACCTCTTGTGAAACTTAAATGGAAGCCTCCGTCCTTGCTTTCTTGGAGGTACCCCCGCCTTGCCTGGCGTACTAGGAAATTTGTGCAAAAGTCTTTAGGAAGTAGAAACAAATATGCTTTGACCATCAATTACTCTTACAATATAGTATTGTTATTATCAATTGCTTCAAAGTTGGGTAATCTGTATTAATATTAAAGAGATACACGAGGTCTGTATTAAAAGATATTTGCATCATTTTTCTGAACCGACTGGATGAATTTTCGCATCGACTAGCTGTTTTGGAATTCAAAAGTGCCCCAAGTCAAGTGAAACTATTAGACCAAGGATTTATTTGGATAGGAATTGATGATGACCTGTGATGAGTCGTCCTAGGTACCTTCCCGACCAAATAAGCAGAGTTCGTTGTCGGTAGGAACACACACCGTTATGGCAAGGAAAGGTAGAAAGCTTACCATGGCATTAGATGCCATACCTTGGGGTGTTTAGTTCTTTAGTCGTTTCTAAAATTTATGTCACATCAAATATTTAGATATTAATAAAGAGCATTAAATATAGATTAATTATAAAACCAATTACATAGATGGAGGCTAATTTGCGAGATGATTTTTTAAGCCTAATTAATCTGCTATCAGCACATGTTTACTGTAGCACCACGTTGTCAAATCATGGACTAATTAGGCTTAAAAGACCCGTCTCGTAAATTAGTCGCAAGTTATGTAATTAGTTTCGTAATTAGTCTATATTTAATACTCCATATGTGTGTTTAAATATTCGATGTGACAGGAATTTTATGAACGGCTGTAGAAACTAAACAGGACCTTAGGGCCCATTCGTTTAGGCTAATTCCCAGGCCAAACGTTTCCTAAATAGAGCAACATTTCTAGCCGGATCTGTTCCTGCCCTGGATTCCATGCGAACGTGCCCTTAGGCCCGGTTCCCGGGGAATGACGTCCCGGAACCGTTCCGGCCAGGATTGACCATATATTTTCTATAGGGCCGGAAGCATTCCTGGCCAGGATTCACCGAGAACGGTGTAATCGAACGGAGCCTTAATAAGTTTACTGCTCCGATCCTATTCCGATGACTGCTACACATTTCACAATAGCATGGCTGGCTTCATGCCAAAATTGAAAGCAAGAACGACTAAAAGAATAGTACAAGTAGTAGTAGTTAGGATGTTTCGTGACTTGAAATCGCCGACGAATGGCAAGCTAATAAATACATATCTCGTAGCATCAACAAGGTCGAATCCGAATTCCCACAAGAGAAAGGTGTGCCCATGCCCATCCCTTAAGGTAGCGTTTGGTTGGAAGACAAGGTAGGGTGGGATGGTCCTGTCTCTGTCTCTGGTATGTGGGACGGAACGATTTCATTTTCTATTTGGTTGAGAAAGGATGGGATCAACCCGTTTTCTGTTTGGTTCGGAGACATCAAAAATAGGATGAGCCACTGATAAGTAGGGCCCATCTATCAATTTTTTTTTCTTTTTCTTCCTTCTCTTATCCCTCTCGTCCTCAACCGCAGACCAACACCACCAGGCTCGCGCGGCTCCGCACGGCCGCACCGCCTCCACCGCGTCCTGTTGCCCCGCGCTAGCAAGCTTGGCCACGCACCACCCCACCGGCAAACCTGGCTGTGGGCTGCCCGGCGCCTCCTCCTCTGCTGGGCGGGAGGCGGCGGCAAGGCCGGCCCAGAGCTCAGACAGGTCCGCGTGGCTAGTCGGGGCCAGAGCTCGCCGGTGCCGGGCATGGCGGCGCCAGGGGGCGGAGCTTCGCCCCATGGCCGCACGCCAGGCTGGGCGAGCTCGTGCTCCCATAGCCGCATGCCGCGCCGAGGCTCGGGGCGAATCTGCGCCCAGCTCTTCCCCTCCGTGTCCGACGACGAGCTCGCTTTCTTCATCAACTCCGGCGTACGGCGTGTCCTCTTCTTCAGCAGGCTTCTCTTCTTCGTCTCCGCGCTCGAGCTCCTCTTCTTTCTCACGGGCTCGCTCGTCCCATGGGGGATAACCCCGTCCGCCAAATCTAAGGGGATGAGCTCGCCCCCAGATTCCATGGAATATCCTAGGTGGGATGTGTTTGACTCTAATTGTCCCCAAACCAAACACCTAAAATCTGGGTTCATCCCACCCCCATCCCATCTCATCCTCGGAACCAAACACTAACTAAAGCTCCCACACAAGATGGCGTGTCCAGGGAAGTGAGTTTCTGGACAGCCTTAGATTTGCTTAATTTTGCACAAGAAGGGTGGTTCCAACACCTAGGACACAAGTGGGTAGACTCTACCACCGCGCCAAGCCCGTCCTTGGGTAATGTCGAATCCCACTACAAAAGAGGTCGAACCATGCCATTTCTACACAAGCATAGCCTGTAATGTATCAGCTGAGGTCGAACCATGCCGTTTCTACCCAAGCATAGCCTGTAATGTAGGAGTATCAACTAGTACTAAGAGGAAACAGTGTCGGATAAATTCACTCAGTCGGGTCGACACGCGCGGAGGACCAATCACACACAGGCCGAATCCGTAGGAAGCAAAGCCAAATTACGCACAGCACAGGCGACAGTAAAAACCAGTGAAACCAACCACGCATGAGCCGAGAGCAATATATCCGCGACTCGAACCGGGGCGGGATTCGCCGGAGAAGCGAACGGGACACAAGTTGCGGGCGGTGGACGGGAGGCGGGGAGGGGGTAGTGTAGGTCAACGCTCATCCGTTTGCCATTTTTATACGTGTCTCTGTATATTTGTCACGCAAAACAGTAAACCTCCTACGTTTTTGTTACTTTTGTTGATGTGGCACGCCACGTTGGTGAGCCAGCGCGGCAAACCCAACTTGGCACGGGAAAAGACATATTTGCCTCTTTTTTTTCTCTCTCTCTGCTTCAACCTCCTGCCATCGCCTCCACTGTACGCTAGCGCGAGAGGTGAGTGGTACCGGTGCACGGAGCCACACGGGCGGCGGCAGTGCCACGGCGGCGCGGCAGAGCGGGCAGGACGCGTGCGCGTGGAGCCACATGTCGATGCAGTCAGAGTGGAACGCGTGCGCGCACAGCGGCAGCGCGCGGAGCTCGTCGCCGTGAGTGGTGCCGGTGCACGGAGCCACACGGGCGCGTCCGCGGCGACGGCACGGTCGGCGGCAGTGCCACGACGGCGCGGCAGAGCGGGCAGGACGCGTGCGCGTGGAGCCACACGTCGATGCAGTCAGAGTGGAACGCGTGCGCGCACAGCGGCAGCACGGCGAGAGGTGAGTGGTGCCGGTGCGTGGCCGCTCGCAAGCCCCAGTGCAGCGCATCGCACTCAACCACGTCCACGCATGATGCCACGCCGCTGCTGCCTCATTTTCACGAGCACCAGCAGCTATTGCCGCCGCGCCATGTGCTCGCCTGCGCACTGACCCGCCCAACCAGAGGACGACAGCGCCAGCCACGACTGCCATGCGCGCGCTGCCCAGGCGGCGGCCGTCCCCTCTTGCCCCGGCGCCTGGCGCCGTCAGCTCGCAGCCTTCTCCCTACGCGGCGTTCGCGTCGCTGGGCCCAGGTCCGACGCTGGTTCCCGGCCCGGCGCCAGAGCTGTCTGCGGCGGCGAGTGCGTTCGCGGGCGGCAAGTGTGGCAGCCAAAAGAAAATGGCGCGGGCCGAGGCACGGCGACGAGTTCCCCATGTCGACATGCAAATCTGGCTAGGGGAGAGGTCGCTCACTCGATTTAGTATTCTCCCTCTCGTCTTTTCAGCTAGCTGCTGGTGCTAGCATCAGGCTGTCAGAGGGGTGGTATGTAGACGCCGGTGACATGGACAGGCGAGGGAGAGACGGAAAAAAGGAATGGCCATGCTAATCCAGACAGCTCAGCGTCCGAAAGCGACGCCATTCGCTGCGAGAGCTTGGCTTTAGTTTTACTGATTGACCGAACGGGGAGGATCAAGCTGAACGTCCGTGCGGTAGACGGGGAGACGGTGACGACGGTTTCCAAGTTCCAAGCCCCTGCGGCCGTCCGTCGTACGCCAATCCCTTCGTTTCCTGAGTGCTGTTGGCGGGCGGTGGCGGTGGCGGTGGCGCCGGATGGAGCCTGAGCTCGCCGCTCATCGCGATGCTGGCGGTGGTAGGCGTGGCGCTGCTGCTGGCGTTGTACGCGCGGCTGGTGAGCGGGTCAGCACGGGCTCCGGCACGTCCAGGAAGTGTGTGGTGTACCTGATGGAGTTTGCGGACGGCGACGAGCTCCGCGCGCTGCCGCTGTGCGCGCACGCGTTCCACTCTGACTGCATCGACGTGTCGCTCCACGCGCACGCGTCCTGCCCGCTCTGCCGCGCCGCCGTGGCACTGCCGCCGCCCGTGCCGTCGCCGCGGACGCGCCCGTGTGGCTCCGTGCACTGGCACCACTCACCTCTCGCGCTAGCGTACAGTGAAGGCGATGTCTGGAGGACCGGAGGTTGAAGAACAAACTGACATGTGGGGCCTACGCGTCAGCGAGGAGAGGGAGAGAAACAAAAGAGGCAAATAGGTCTTTTTCCGTGCTAAGTTGATCTCCCAGGGGCGCTGCCCCGCTGGCTCGCTAACCTGATGTGCCACGTCAGCAAAAAGTGATAAAAATATAGAAGATTTACTATTTTACGTGATAAATATGTAGATGTGTGTATAAAGATAGCAAAGTGCCGTCCGTAAGGACGGAGAAAAGTTAAAAATCCCCTGCGACCGTGCCTGTCTTGCGTTGAGAAGACAGAAGAGTGAATCGATGCGGTGGATGGATTTGTGCTGGCTTTGCTTTGTCAAATTTAGCCCTTTCAGTAACTCCTAAAAAGTGTACTATGTAAAAAAAAATTATTCGTTATATTAAACTTACGGTATATGCATAGAGTACTAAATATAGACGAAATCAAAAACTAATTGCACAGTTTGCTTTAACTTTACGAGACGAATCTTTTGAGCCTAATTAGTCAATGTTTAGACAATAATTCATAAATACAAACGAAATACTACATTAAAAAATCTTTACTATACAAAGTTTACCTGCATAAACTTTACCCAACTAAACACCGCCTTAGCAAACAAAACACATCAAATCTCGATCGGACAGTGGATGTTGACCGCCTGAAATGTTAGAGCCTACTGTTTGGTTTCAACAAATAAAAATAATATACTCCGTCAGTTTCAAAATAATTGCACTTTAATGATTCAAAATTTGTCATAAAATAAACGCTCATATAGGTACCAGCGTATGATACAGGGCTATACAGGACCCACTCAAATCACCAGCACGCACAGCTACCCTAGAAGAAAGGCAACGTGGTGGAAGGGGCTTGTGCGTTTGTGTGCTTTCGGATTGAAAAAAAAAAACTGCCATGTTAGATATAGGAGCATTTTTGTAATTAGCCAGCCACCTTGGTTTCTCTCCTTAGTTCTTGAATTGCAATTATTTTGAGACAGAGGAGTATTTGTACTGGTGAAATGTCTTTAGGGGTATAGTACAAATGCACCCTTAAAATGAATAAACAAAATACAAAAACACTGATTTAACCTAAAACCTCATCATATAAGGGCTTGTTTGGATCAATTAGTACTAAAAATTAGCAGCTAAAATTAGTACTAATAGATCGAAACAGACTAGTTAATAAACCTGTGAATTATTAGCTAAAGGGTTACTAACTATTAAGCAAGTTTCAAGTTGGTAATAGCTCATATATACCTTCAACTCACTATCCAATCACCTATTAGTAGGTAGATCCAAATAGCCTCTTGCTAAAATTTAGCAGCTATTAGCTATTACCTATTACCTAGCTGCTTTTTAGTGCTAATGGGCCCGAACAGACATAAATACCCTTATAACACAATTCTATGTATGCACAAGGCAAGTGCACCTATCTTTAGTTTTACTTTAGTTTCTTTATTGTTTATGCTATTGTAATTAAAAGAGTGAAAAAATTGAAAAAAAATAAAGTATTCCTATTCCACCTTAAGCTTTGTTTGTCGACACTCAACCCATCCAAATCCAGCATGGATTGGGGGTGGCGTATCGGTTACAATGAACTAGCAGGGTGGGATATTCTCTAGGAAATATATCTAACATCTAGAAATCATCTAATCATATGTGATGCGTGCGTCTGGATTGATATATTAGGATACCACCGCTTACACCCATCAGCTGCGATCGAGCGGCCTATGATATAGAGCCTGTTTGACTAGGCTCCGAGCGGCTCCGGCTCCTCTGACTTTTCTCATATTCGTCTCCTGTAGCGACACTGTTCATCGGAGCCGTTTTTCTCTCTCCTCCTTTCCTCTCTCACTGACAGCACCGGAGCCGGAGAATCTCGTTTTTTTTGCTCCTCCGGCTCCAGCTCCTACGCGCTACAGCTACGCTACAGTGTGGGAGCCAGAGCCGGCGGGAGCCTGACCAAACGCGTCCATGGTAATATCTATTGCTCGATCACGGGTGTGCTATTATTTCTTTTCTTTTCTATTATTAATTATGGCGACACCGGCATCATTCAATGTAGCCGAGCGACTCGTATAGAAAAATGAGGCACATGCCTATGTCATGTGAAGCTTTTATATATTTATATCAGAAGAGGAGAACTGAAAAGGAGACACTGAAAGCGAAATCATGTTACGGGATATTAAAATCGGAGTTGGCTACAGGGTATTATTGAAAGTGACATTGGCAAAAGAGCTAGGACGACCTCAGCTAGTAGGTATCTAGAAAGTAAGGGACATTTGTTTCTCTTATAATCCGTTATTTTCAGTTTGTTTTTTTAATCAGAACTATGTTTTTCTCTCATAACAAATCAGCCAAAACAGTGTTTCGGCTTGTTTTTTTAACGAAGCGAACGGAGCCATTGATTGTAGAGTTAAGCACCTCGTCTAGTATGTAGAAAAGTCAAAACAGTAAAAAAAACGGAACGAGTAGGACGATCGATCCTTGGTGGTGGATTGGAGGTTACAGCATCGTCGGCCCTTGGCAGTGGTCACTGGTCAGAAACTTACTACGGTGATTATTTGTCGTATCGTCATCGTCGTCGTGGCCGTAAAACACATTTGGTCATCGCCTCGTCAGACAGCTAGTTAACGTGTGTACACAGTTCTGGAATCTCAGGAATTTTTCATCGCGACCGCCGACCGGCCAGGTCAGCTGAATGCTTTTGTATGCATGGGACAGAGGCGGTCTTGCCGATTGACCAGATAGATAGACTGTGGATCCTAGCTATGAATCTAGGATGATGATGATGATATGATGAGAAGGGACTCGAGACGAGCAACCAATTGATCACAATTGAAAGGAGTAAAATTCATCATCGGTCTTTAAACTTGGCCGGCGGTGTCATCCCGATCGCCCAACTTCCAAAATAATATATGTAGGTCCCAAAACTTAGACAATGGTGTCATCTTAGTCCATGAACTTCCAAGGTGATCGCCACCGCGGTCCCTAAGCATGGTCGTTAGTGTTATTCTAGTTTACGCTTAATGTAGTATGCTTACTGTGCATTTGATGTGGACATGACATGTGGAATATACCTATATTTTAATATTTTGGAGGAGTAAAATTCACCGCATGGCCCTAAACTTGGCCGTCAGTACCATCATGATCCACAAACTGATATATAGGTCTTATGTGTCAAAGATGAGAAATAGAGAGATAGACCCCAACATGTTGGGTCCACATCTAATGCACAATATGTGTGACACATCAGCGTATAGAATGGGTCCCTATTTAGACCTAGACTAGACAAGACTCAAAACCAAGATTATAGTTCGGGATGACATCGTTGGCCAAGTTTACCTCATGATGGACTAAATTCTAGTAGTCCTAAATTCTAGTCCGATGATCCATACACGTCCTTTAACCAATGGCAAAACCCAGTTCAAGGAGGTTCGTTTTAGATGTAATATTACAATATATCCATCAGTGAACCGGTGATTATTTTTTAGATAAAGGGATTAAATCCAGCCTCTGCATTCATATTTCATACATGAATGTATATAATAGCCAAAGTGAATCAGTGATAATAACAATAGATAATATATGTACATTGGTATCGCACAAGTGATCCCATTACAACTAAGAGCGAATTGCCGCCAGTGTGTTCCTGATGTATGACATGGTAGGCCTCACGTCTGGATCATCTTGAACGCAACGGAGGCCTATATGAATGCATCTTCCCACCTCTCCTCTGGGAGCATCACCCATTCTTGGATCCTTCAACTGCTCAGCAGTTCCCTGAGTCCAGTGCTGTCGAACCTTCACCGAAAAAAGTAAGAAATAACTTATGGGTTGACAGTGAGAAGAAAATAACCACAAGTATTTATAAATGAAAAACTGACATTTTCATCATATCTAAAAATCTAGAGTGTGCACTAATTACGCTGAGTCTTCTACCGTACAGTTTCTTTTGGTTCTATTGTAATAGCTAGTATTGTTGATAGAGACCATTTTTTTCCCGACTGATAATTAGATAGATACCAGCAGGCAGGCTATATCTTTGCTGGAGACAAGGTAGAGTAACATTTTTACTTACATATGTAGGGAGGTCATCAGCATCTTCTCTACGAAATGATGTCGCTTTGCAGCCTGTTACAATCTCCAGAAGTACTACACCAAAGCTGTACACATCGGACTTCGCCGAGTACGATTTGCGGTGGAACAACTCAGGAGCGCTGTATGCACTGATAGTACCATACCATTAATTAATCAGTAAGCACACTGCCAGTGATCGGTTCTGCTCATCACAAGTCACCAGAAACACATGGAACTTTTTTTTTGAATGGGTTAAACACATGGAACTAAGCAGTAAAGGCAAGTGCAATGGCTGCAAAATGAACTCACCGTGTTCCCTCGAAGCTCTCCGCCTTCCCTTCAGACTGGCCTTGATCAAGCAGAGTTGCAAGACCAAAGTCTGAAATTTTGGGGATCAAGTCATCGCTAAGTAGGATATTACTAGGGTCTATATCACGATGAATGATTCTGCAATGCTCATGCAGATATAGCAATCCTTCACAAATCCCTTGCAAGATGCGAAGACGTGAAGGCCAGTCGAGCACTCCGTACTTTTCATCTTCAGCTGCACACACCTCAGATTCATGGCTGGTAAGACCAACATGCATCTTATACAAATGGCACTATTCTTATGATAATTATGTCTGCAACCACTTATATTACAAGAAAAAACATACCGAAAAGAACTGCATCAAGGCTACCACCGGGCATATATTCATAGCATATTAGGTTGTTGTTATTCCCTATGCAGGATCCCATCATCCTTATGATGTTTGGATGGTTAAGCCTCGCAAGAATTTTCACCTCATTTTTTAGCTCCTCAAGCCCCACTTCCGTGTTTAGTCTTTTGATTGCCAAATCACCAACATTTGGTAGTGTTCCCTGAGCAATGCCAAGGATAACAAATTCTTCATATATACTAATTCAATAACAGACTCACAACCAAAACTCCAAAAGGAAACCTGATTAAGTACCTTGTAGATGGTCTTAGATCGGGTAGAAATGATACTATTTCGTTCAGTAAAACTGTTGGTGGCAACTCTGATAGCATCCAGATCTAAACTCTGCTCAAGGTGGGCTGTAAGCTTAGGCCCTGGGGCATGCTCATGTTCTGTTCCAAACAATTCTGATTGCACAGGTTTTTTCACGAATGAAATGATATATAATCCTATCATACATAAAAACTGTGAATGATGAATAGTAATTGTGCGTACCAAGTGCTAGTGGTAAATGCTTTCGTTGACTTCGACGATAACAAAATACTAGCAATGCAGAAATAAGCAGCAACCCTCCAACAACAGAGACAGAGACAATGATAGCAGTTTGTCTATCTATAAAAAGAATAGGGATCCATTTTTAGTATAATAAAGTACTGAATAAACTCTTAAATTGATAGCATCATAGGAATAATCATCGAAACATACCTGTGTGAGACGGATCATTATGAGAAACCCGAGTGTACAAATCATCGATCCCTATAGTAAGCTGAACAGTATCGAGCAGATCACCTGACCAGACGACACAGTCACTCCCTCCAAGCAGGCGTAAAGCGTTGCACGAGCAGTTCCCTAAGCACAACTCCCTGCAGCCATCCAAGCTCTTGCCTCGAACCAAGGTGGCGTTCAGTGTGTCAGGCACCTTAACAAGTGAGAGTCTGCTAAACCCATTCGCTGACGAGCAAGAAAACGGCGACACACTCCTCACGCAGCCACCGGCGAAGTTCCTCTGGTTCCATTCGCGGCGGCGACGTGGGGACGAACTCCGGCAGGCATTGGCAGACAGCGGTGGAGCAGAAGGCGTTTGGACCGCAGAACGCGAGGAATCACATGTAGACTGAGGCCAATGCCAGTAGTACTCCCACTTGTTGTCGGAGTTGCTGCGCCAGCGATAGGCAATGCCATCTGGCATCAGGACAAGTCGCCACTGGACTGATGTGTTCAAAGCCGTGAACGAGTAATACGCGCTGCCTTCGCGCACAGTCATGTTGAACACCACATCATTTGTCGGCTTGAGATATGGCTGGCCGTTGAAGGCCTGGCCATTCCATGGACCAGTCCTGTATGTCAAATCAGTGGCATTGAACAAGAGCAGTTCAGGCATTCGTCTCGGATCCATGCTGATGGTGTAGTCCCCGGGAGACGGGTCCGATTCGCTCTTCCATGATCTGAGCTGCAACAAGCCATTATTCGCCGCCGACGTGTCGTACCCGATTCTCATGCCAGACAAGAATGTGTCGCAGGGATGATCAAAACTTCGCCATAGTACTTGACCTGGAGTACTCCTAGACATGGTGGTGTCATTGATGATAAGGTTACCAGTGTCGAGAAGGAAGGCCTGTGGACTATTGGTGTTGAGTGTGCCACTTGACCACAGGGATCCTCTCCTTGTATCCACAAGGTCAAGAGAGCTTTGGCTGAGGGTAAGGCTTACATTGCCTCCCTTTATTGGTTTGTCACGGTTTGCCACCCAGACGATTGTTTGAGGCTTTATGTAATTGTACCATATTCCTAGATATGTGTTGGCCCCAATTGTGAAGAAACCCAACACAAAAATACCTTGTGCTGAAACTAGTGTTTGCCCAACTTGCAAAGACTGCCCTATGGCCAGCGAGCCATCTGGAACAAGATATTTCAAGATGAAAACTGTGAGAATACGTCAAGAAAAAAGAGAACCAGGTATATGCATGGAAGATGCTTAAAAAAAGGTATATGCATGGAAGATATATATGGTTGCCATATTGTTTCTAGCTACTATTTCTTTCTCTCACCCAAAGAAAAACATAAATAAAGGGAGAACGAACCAGAAAAACAAAAAAGTTTTAGGTATCTTGCACAATTTATACTACACTGGACCAAGACCAATTGGCATGATGTTAAAGTACCATTATTGTCCTGTTCGGCTGCCATTGATGCAGCAGCTGCTACAAGCTGTGTCTGCAATTTGCTCTCTGTGGTTACTGTATTAGCAGCAAGCTGCAGCGAACACTGATCTATCATACCATGAACAACATGTCACGTCATCAGTGCCATAGCAAGCAGGCAAAGGTTTGTACTACAGATTATTGCACGATGGACCACACTCAGACAAATCCAATAATTAACGATGGAGCACAAACTGCACTCGAAGAGGACTAGAACACCTTTAAATTTGGGCCCCCTTTGGAACAAATGATGTACAATACACAGGAACAGAAAAAAAAAAGTCGGGATGACAAATCCTATAGGATTTCAAAACAAAGAAAATTTAGAAAGATGCCTTTGGAAACATTGCAGGGAAAAAATGAAACAAAACAATGAAGTTAGCTCATGTTTAGTTTCCTCCAAAATTCCTTTAGATTGCCCACTATTCCACATGAATTTCAAAGGAATTATTGGGAAGCATTAACCAAACCATTCCATGCGTGAACAATGACTCTACATAGGATTAATTGTGTACTTTTGGAGAGAGAGAGAGGTGTACTTTGTGACTGCGCCCGAGGCAGAGAAGCAGCAGCGAGCAGCAGCACCGAAACGAGGAGCACGGCCTTGAGCATCGTCCTCGAGCCGTCAGCTACGCAGGCCGGCCTGGAACTCGAATGGAAGCACTGATGAAATGGCGAGCGTAGCATAGATCCTGCAGTCCCACGCTTTGTACGTATATTAGTACGAAGTTCTCTTGGAATTCAAAAGTGCCCCAAAGTCAAGTGAAACCAATTAAACCAAGGAGTTATTTGGATAGGAATTGATGATGACCTCTGACGAGTCGTCCTCCTATGTACTTCTGGGCCGTATATTGTGTTACCATCATCTGGATCAACCCATCCTATTCCTAGCTAATAAGGTCGTCGTCGGTGGGAACACACACAGTAATTGCAAGGAAAGGTAGAAAGCTTACAATGTCTGATGACTGTTACACATTTCACACCATAGAGCTTTAGTTGAAAATAATTCCACTGCAAATAAAGCTGGTATTAGTGTATACTGCAGTCCTGCCAAAGCATGCATGGCTTGATACCAAAATTGAAAGCAAGAATGACTAAAAGAACAGTAGTAGTAGTTAGGATATTTCGTGACTTGGAAGCCCAGAAGATAGACAGCATATTTGAACTAGCCTGTGGTCTGGTATTACGGTTTGCTAGTTGAAAAGTCAACACCATATTTACCTGGAACCCAGGAAATTCTACACAGATGATTTTTCAGAAGCATCTAGATTTGAACTTTTCTGGTTTTCATCACTGCAGAAAAATGTAGCATGAGTGCTTGACTGCTTGAGTCATTCAGGTTAGACAAAGAGCCAAAAGATTTCAAAGATCCCAAAGTAGAAAAGCAAGGCAGTATTCTGACGCTAAACACAAGGAAATAGTTTACAACAACCAAAAGGTTCTGCAATCCAGTTTATTGCATCAGATCTCTACTGATATACAATGCAATGTACTAAATTAAATTACCGCTTACGGAACTGGGTAGCATAATCTTGGCCAACTCCCTGAAATGAAGATGTTTCAGATGGTAATGCAACCGAGGACAACGGCCCCATCGCCATCGCCGTCGCCGTCGTCGGGGCTGGCGCCCTTGGGGACGGTGACGACGAGACCTCGGCGTAGGTGGCAGTGGCCAAGGCGTGGCGCGTGCAGGGCACGGGAAGCGGAAGCGCCAGCGGTTGAGCTCGAAGGCGGCGGCCCCGTCGTCGTCATCGTCGCTGTGGGCGCCGCAGGTGGAGAGGTCCCGCAGCGCTGCACATCCGCTGAGAAGGCTGTCGGCCGGTCCTCAACCACAATGCGGGTACAAAGGGGGCATTATCACAAAAAATCTAACATCTGCGTGTACAGTTACGGTATTTCTGACCAACGGATATGAGGTCTAAAAAAATAAACTTGATCCACCCTACATATCAAGTTATTTTTTTCTCCAATGGTGATCAGTGATCAAGAAAGTAGCAGTGGCTGGATCGTATAGTTGCTGGTTCATTTATGTATGAGAAAAGTACTGCTGGCTGATTCACGTGAATAGTAGCCATGTGAGGAGGCTGGTCAGCCAGCCCCAGCCCAACGATCAGGCGGTAGGATCTTTTACAATGACTTTTGACTTGTAAGGAATTGTTTTTTTATTTTTCAGGTATCTGAACCATCTCTTCCGGCATGAGCTTCCTAGGTTGGAGGTGACTTAGGCTAGCAATTTCAGATTTTTATTTATCTATATCTTTTGTTATTTCCACGTTGCCTATGTTTTAGTAATATTGTAGTTGTTGCTAAACTTTCATATTTTAGTAACATTGTAGCGTAGTGTTGTTGGTGTTTCGAGTTACCATTAACGAGTAAATTTTTAATATTGCGCGTCTGGCTCGGATGGTGTGCTCAGAGAACACGAGGTTTATACTGGTTCGGGTAGAAAGTCCCTACGTCCAGTTCGTTGCTGCTGCTCGTGTTACTAGCACTGAAAGTTTGTAGTAGGGGTTACAAATGGACGAGAGAGGGACAGGTCCCAAGTCTCTTGTGGAAAGAATGAACGGGTGCCGAGAGCTCGGTCGCTGCTCAGTCGTGTGCTTGTGTCGTGTTTTGGTCGATTCGTGGTTCGATGGGTTCGTCTTGAATCGGATCTCGATGAGTCGATTCTCTCTCTGGGGCGCCCTGCTTTCTCTTTTATAGGCCAAGAGAAAGCACGGGTTACAACGGAGGAAGAAGGAGAAGAAACAGAGAGCGGAAGGCTTCTAGGATCGCCGGGTCCTTCTTCTCCATCATGCGGGTCCCGCTGACCCTATTGATGTCGGTCACTGGTGCCATACGCAGACGTCGTCTGCCGGTCATGGCGTTCCATTCCGGCGCAGTGGACGTCGTGGTGAGCTGACGCGCCTATCATTGTTCGTACGGGGGTTAGACAGGACAACACCGGTACGCCCGACGCTGTTCTTGATGTGAATCCTCTGGTATGGCCTGTCATGGCCACGAGCTACATCGGGGCATGACGGTTTTTTCCCTGGTGTCAGAGCTTTGACCCAGGCCCATACGCTTGGACCTAGAGTGGTTGACGGTAGTATGGGTCTCCGTCGGGCGAGACGGAGCCCACGACCTTGGGGTCAGGCGAGGCGGAGCACGAACCCAAGGGCCGGGCAAGGCGGAGCTCGCTACCTCGGGGTCAGGCGAGGCGGAGCGCAAACCTAAGGGTCGGGCGAGGTGAAGCCCGCGGCCTTGGGGTCGGACAAGGCGGAGCGCAAACCCAAGGGTCGAGTGGTGGGGCCCGCGGCCTTAGGGCCAGGCGAGGCGGAGCCTGCAGCCTCGGGGTCGGGCGAGGCGGAGCCCTCTCCCAGAGGTCAGGCGAAGCGGAGTCCGTCCCCAGAGGTCGGGCGAGGCAGAGCTTGCGCACCTAGGGGTCGGTTGGAGCTGTAGTCGCGCTCTTGACTGCTCGGATGAATCAATGTTTATGGTTGTTAGCTCCTCCTCTTCGGGTACCATAGTATTGGTCCCCGATAGTAGCCCTCGAGCCTGCGAAGGAGTAGAGTATTCCTTCGGAGGCTTTTCTGAACGGGAGGACTCTGAGGGCCTTGGCCTTCTTTTGTCTCCCACGGCATGTCCTGAGGACGGTGATTCCCTTTCGTTGTGATCGGACCCTTCAGGGGTATAGCCGTGAGATTTGGTGGATTAGAAAAGGTCTTTCCTGATGTCGACCCCTACGGGGGTCTGTTCTTCTACGACCGTGCGTTCGGTCTTCGTGCGAGTCTAACTTTTCTCGAGCCCCACCCGTAGCAGGGGTCTGGTCGAGGATCGGCTCGTCTTTGCGATTGTCTTCCCTCAAGTGTTTTTTTGATAAAAATAGAGGGGCCGAGCCGTGCCATGATTTTCCTCTATAGACGAATCATGGTGACCGGTGAGCTATTAATGGGCTAGTCTGAGTGTGGCCCTAGCATCCCGTTCGCGGGGATCCTGGCTTAGGTCAGCTTGGTGACCGACCCTAGATTCTCAGTGGTCAGTCCATATAGTTCTCGGGTCCGTTCGACCGGTCCCGAGGGCTCTCTCCCGTTCTTTGAGGAAAAACCATGGATCGTATCCGGCCGAGACTCGAACGCAGGCTGGGATGCCCGCGGCGCTCATGCACATGGGTACTGGTCGCTAGCGGGCCCATCCTTTTCCACCCCTTACTCTAAAGGTGCCCGGAGCGGTTGTCGAACCCGTCGGTGGGCCAATCTTTGAACTCCTGGGCCCAGACGGGACATAGAGGCGTCTTCAGCTCCGTATCCCTCTTACCCGTGGCAGGTCGTGACCCGTTTGGGAAGGCGAAACGTCTGGTGAGTTTTCTGAGGGAACGGGCATAGGTTGTGTGCGCATGCCCCACGATGAGACGTGGTGGCAGGTCATGGCAGGCGTGGAGATCTAGGCAAGCAGTTGGTTTCCTCGCACCCGTCGCCACTATAAAACCAAAGGGTTAGCCCTCCAGGTTTCATACGCACACCTGCATCCTTGCCTCCACAGCCACGCCGCCGCCACCATCGCTTAGGTTTCCTGCCTCCACATCCCCGCCGCCGTTGAGCTTGCATCTATCCGCCCCCACCTCCAATGGATCCGTGGTGCCGTTCTGACATCACCTTCCAATGTATGGAGGGTCTCGTCCGTCGTGGTCTTCTCCACGCGCGGACCTCGATCGAGGAGTGGTTGCTGCCCGGTGATGAGGATTTGCCATCGCCGCCCGATGGCTATGTGGTGTCATTCACCCACTTCCACGAGCATGGGCTCATGGCCCCCGCCCACAGATTCCTCTGGGGGCTGCTGCACTACTACAAGATTGAGCTGCAGCATCTCAATCCTAACGGGATCCAACACATGGTGGCATTCGTAGCGCTGTGCGAAGGATTCCTGGGGCTCAACCCCCACTTCGACTTGTGGAGGCATTTCTTTGCCGTCACCCTCCAGAAGAAGAGGGAGATGGGCAGCAGGCAGGAGCTGCACATGCCGATGGGGTGCGTCGGCATCCAACTTCAGAACAATCGAGTTGGTGAGTATCCGTCCATGCGGCTCTCGACGTCCAACAAGGGGTGCCACTCGCAGTGGTTCTACCTCAAGAACGCCGCCGCCGCCCCTCTGCCGGAGTTCATCGGGTGCCTAATCGCCACCATCCACATCTTGATGGAGAAGGACAAGAAGAAGATCCGAGACCACATCGCCGCCATCCACATCTTGAAGGAGAATGGCCTAAAGAGGTCAGGAATCATCGAGGCTTACCATGCAAGGAGGGTGGCGCTATTGATGACACGCGCGCTCCCGCTATATGCGATGGCACCTAAGGCGTCGTTCGATGGAACGACGCCCGCCGATGGGACGCTCCCTAACTTTGAGATTACGCAACGCATTAAGGAGGCGATGGAGCCTTTGCGGGACGACGCGGGTGCCGCCCCTAACTTCATTTACCCAGTGCTAGGGCATCATCCGATGCGGCCAGAGCCAGGTTACGTCGTCTTCGTAAGTTTCCCCTTCTCTTGCCTTCTCTTCAATTGATTTCCCGACCCCTTGATATTGACTTTGAGAGGGGCAGGACCAGCCAAGGGACCTCATCCTCACGGATCACTCGGTGCCACTGCAGAGGGATTCGGCCGTGAGGGTGGTGAATTGCACTGAGGGCGAGCGACTAAGGAAGGCAAAGGAGGACAAGAAGAGAAAGAAGCAGCGGAAGCTGCAGGCACAGGAACAAGGGGAGGACACCGACAACGATGATGATGATGATGACGATGGTGACGACGACGAGGTAGCCGATGATATCGAGTGGGACAACCTAGAGAATGAGGATGCGCTGACAGGTATCGGTTCACCCTTGAAGGCGTCGGGACCCTTCCCATTCCACGGAGGGGAGGGTACGTCTAGGGAGCCGATAGAGGCGGGTTGTACCGTCAGCCTACCCCAGGAGCCAACAGAGGCAGGTGGCTCTACCGTCGAGCTAGAGGTGCCAGTGAAGGCGTGCGGCTCCGTCGTCATGCCCCAAGAGCCAAGGGGAGCGAGGCCCTCTGCCCTGGAGTAGGAGGCAGGCTCAAAATGGCCTCGTTCCAACAAGGCAGAGCGAGGGTCAGGGGGTTCACCCCCAAATGCATTTGCCATCCGACGGCGCTGAGGTGGGTTATCACTTCCTCTGTTTTTCCTATTTTAGTCGAATTTTGCCGTGACTTATGCTTTTCGTCCCTTGCAGCATCGGTAGGCAGTGTAATCCTTTGGCGCTGGCGCCGAGGAAGAGCATCGCCCTCCAATTGAGGTGGCAACCGTCGCTTGGTGTCATGCCCGTTTCGAGCGGGAGCGGTGCCAGTGTGACCGCATTGCCGGCCGGTCAGGCGCTGCCCATGGTGGCACCTATGCCCTTGGTAGGATGGGCGAACGTGGGTGCTCAAGGGGCACGTTCGGAGGTTATGGAGCAGCCAGTGACGGCCGCGATACCGCTGCCAACGATGGGACGGATGGGGCAGTCGACCGCGCTCGTGGCACCGGCCATGGCAGGCGCAGCGCAGTCGGTCGTGACCCCGCCGACGTAGGTGGAGGTGGCAGCGACTGTGACAGATGGGTCATAGCCGGG